ATCCAAAATTTCTTCATTTCGCTGCTGTCCACCAACATCAGAGCTATGCAATTCGCTCAATGTTTTGCACTTCTTCTTTAGGTCGTTACTGTCGGCACCGTAACACAGTCCCTCGACATCGAAAAGGAACCCAAACTTGGCATCAGTGTCGTGCAAATGATCAAACCTTTCATCCATTTCTCTATGAAGACAGTCGAGTGTTCCCTTCACGAATTTTTCCATTTCCTCCTTGGCTTTTTACCCAGCGTCTCTCGAGTTCTCATCAGCCATTCGTTTCTTTCGTCTCTGACGTCTTTCAACTTCAATATTCCATTCTTGACAGAGACCGAGTCCACCTTCGAATGGCTCACTTACCAACACTTCTCTTTCATCATCAAAATGATCTCGGAGGGTTTTCAAATCCAGGGCAGTATCGTGGAAGTTCGTGTTAGGATCCTGCAGCCTCTTTTGAATACGGTCAATGCGAGTGAGTACTTTGTTTCAAAATCTTAGCAAAGTCACAAAATCGTAACTCAAAATGCGGTTATACAGCTTTGCGTCACTTCTTATTTTACTGGTCTCGTTTTCATTGTCTAGCATGTTCTGGAGAACTTGAAGTATCTCCTCAAGGTACTTGTTGACGGGCTTCACTGCTTCTGTCCTTTCACTCCACCTGGTTTCGGACTGCGACGTAACAACCACATGTACGGCGTTTTTGAGTTTTTCCCAGCGCTGTGTTGAACGAGAGGAGAACACATAGAGAGCTATAATGATTTCAAAAAACGTGATCATCATTGTATGTGGTCATGTTGTTCCCAGCACTATCTTTTTACCTAATAATGTATATAAGTGCTTCTCACCTATGATAATCAAAGACAGATCACACATCTGAAGAAAACTCTTTTTTCACTGTTCGAGGATGGCTTGTCTGACTTTAATAGAAACTGCTCAGTGGCGCCCCCTTCAAGTGGCGCCCAGGGCACGTGCCGTACCTGCCATACCTTAGGTAGGCCACTGATTCCATTTTACCTAAGCTTCTGTACCTGCATTGACGAAGTTTGTATCCTTTCCTGTTTCGTGTGATTGAATTTGAGAGAATCCCTGTATAACAAAATCTATACAACGAATAAATGTGCTAGAAAGAATTCGGGTTTGTTGGAGCGTGACGGTTCAGGTGACAGGTTTGATACAATAGACTGCCGTTCAATCGAGAGGATGAATTCGGTTTCGGTGTGATGTTTGAACAAATAATCCATCATGATTAACTTCCTGGTTGTAAGTGTCTAGTTTAATCTCAGTCTTAGTTAAAATGAAAAAATTGGGAACTTGATTGGCAAACAGAGCAATAGGCAAACAGTCGATAATTAACGGCGAAATACATTTTCGAATTTAAATAGGAAGAAAGCACACAAGAAAGTAGTCCTCAAGAATGAATTGTTAAGAGTTACTTACAATTGGCAAAAGCTCATAAAAATGACAAAAGTAAGCGATAACAGCTTTAAAAACAAGTTGTGACAAAAACTGTCGAAAATAGATTATAATAAAAACTACGATGAAACGCAAAGAAATACATTTGCATTAAACTAAATAAAAGAAGAATAAAAAACTGACGAAAAGAACTGTAGGAAGATCAAACAACATAAAACAGTTAATATTTATACATGAAGCAGAAAGATAAAGAGCGAGTTGTAATAAAATATTAATACTAATTTTATTAATGCGCTGAAAAAAATCTATATATATAACGTTTATTAACCTTTTTATAGTCAACATAAAATATTCTCCTTTTAAGTTGACGATTTAGGGTTCGTGACTACTTTATTTTTAAAGGATCATAATTTCGTTACGAAAATGTAAATATGCGTGCTTCAAGCTCATTTTACTCATGTCTACAGTAAATGAAATGTATCCGTTATTATTGATGTTTAATGTTGCTGAAGCATTAAAATTTTATTTCTCTTTTTTTTCACCCCATTTTGTCCCGAAATTGGTTGAAAGAGCATGTTAATAGACTACGAAAATGTATTCATGGAAACCACACAACAGTGAATAAATGGTACTTTGAAACGAACAGGCATCAGATTGCCTTAGGTTATTACTGGGATGAAAATCAAATAAAAATTCAAATGATAAATGATTTGTGCATTCATGCGTTTAAGATATCTATTAATTTTTCCATCTGAATGACTTGTTTTTACCAGGCCATTCTGAATGATTTGTTATCAGAATTCATCCTCATCAGCAGTTTTCAAAATCGTAAATTGTTTTGTTTCAAGTTGCGATACAAATTATATATACTTATGTAATCTAGATTAAATTAAAAAGTGATTATATCTCCCGTATAAATAAAATAAAAGTATTGAGCTATTTAATACTAACGTAACACGAATCACATAATATTTTTATATAACTATATAGAACTGGTTCTCAGCATCTGTCGAAGTGCATAAGTTATTAAGTGAACGCAAATGAATGTCATATTTAAATAGAATTGAGTCGTTGTTTTTAGTACAACTCTTTTTCCAGAAATATAAGGTAAAATCAAGACTAGCACTTTAGTTTCATGTGTTACTAATTTGCTAATTTCTAACATTTTGTAACCCTGATGGGAGAAAAGTTTTAAGTTTTCAACGCAAATAATTCAATCTGACTGGCCATTTTGTTAGTAACGTACACACGTGCACACAGAGATACTGGTATATCGTTTAATTTATTAGTATGTGCAAAAAAAAAAAAGATCATGTGAAGTTTCAGGAGATTTATTGAGTTCTATAAATGCAAAGACGTGGTCATATTATAGCCACCTCTGCAAGACAATTTGTACTATATCTTTGCCACTAAAAAAAACGCTGTTGTCACTAAGCGCTGGGAAAAAACAACACTGGACTAGCTTATAAACTCCCACAGCCATCATATCGTAGATCGATTCTTTCAACAGTTGTCAGGATTGGACTATCTCTCATTATAACATGTAACTGTCATTACAAAACTAATTGTATGCAACTGCAATGAGTTCGAAAACCATTTATCTCATATGTAAACAGAAAAGCACGGTTTCACTTAGATGTGGATTATGAATGATTGCAATAAAGTGTTGTGATCTAATGAGTCGGGCTTACTCTCTTCTGTATTGTTAGTAAAAATATATAGTAAGCGAAATGGTGCATTTCATCCTGCTCGTGCTGTTTCAACAGTGCCGGATGAGAGAATAATGTTTTTTTGTAGCAGAGTTTATACCCTTTAATTTCCTTAGGAAGGCGACTTGCAACCAAAGGGTTTGTTATATATCATTTCCACCCCACAATGCTGCTATTTCCATGATAGACAAAGCTGAGATGATAATTCAATGATCCAATTTGGTCGTGTAATCCAAAATTAGTTCAGAGAAAATATTAATGACTTCAGTCATTTTCTTTCGCCAGTACAGCTACTGGATCTTTAAGATCATTATGAATGATACATTTGTCATATTTATACTTTACCGCAGTAAATGAACAAATTTATCCTCAAACTTCCATACGAATGGGCTACAACCGAACAAAATACTTCCAGACATCTTGTATATTATATGCTAGGCAGTGTCATGTTGTTATTACAGCAATAGATAGTCCAACCAAATAAACTGACCAGAACTGTAAACAGCCTACCAGTTATTAAATAGATACCCACTCCGGAATGATACCATTTCATTATATAAATAAATACATGAAACAAAGAGAAAAAGATTACCTTTATCAAAATGAGTCAGTTTTATAGTTTTCGGGCGCACAGGACGTGCATAAGTTGTTGTTTTACGACGTGAAACGAACTACATTGTCAATCCATTCATTGCGAACAGCAAATTATTTGGCGACTTCTTGCTGACTTTGACCGCCTCCAACTACGCTAACTTGTGAAAGGGTGAAAACACAGTTTATTCCTAAATTCCTTTCGTGGTGTGGTTCTATGTATTTTGTGGTCTTTATTCATTGGAGGAAACCTTTGATAAGCACCTTTAAAAACTATCTGTGTTATTTAACTTGTGTTAGTTTTATGGAAAAGCTTTGTAATGTTAAGTCTATGCATTTTTGTAATGAAAGATCAAAAGTGGACGCTATATTGCGATGTATAGGCGTGGCCTAATTTCCAGCGTTCCCTACTGTGAATCCGAGGGGCCATAATTCACGTACATTTACCGCAAAATCGTCCTTCGCACTTTGAGGCTGTGTGTATTCTATAAGAGTTACAGATAAATCCCACTATTCAATTAGAGTAGCTCAAAAGTTGAAGGTTGGTGCTGTTGACTGGCCACCAGTCTATCAATTTAAAATTAGGGATGGCTAGTGCAGATAACCCTTGAGTAGCTTTATTTGGGTATCAGAAGAAACAAACAAACGCTAAACTCAATGATAATCTCAGGAATATATATAAATGTATGTATGTATGCATATATATATATTTCAATAACATATTATGAAATAAACGTTTAAGTACGAGAATCTGGTCATACTAAATATAATATTCAGCTGTATCCAGTAATATCTGATATTAAGCGAATGTGATTCTTAATACAATGGTTATTATTACGTTAAAATTCTGTTTTACTCCTCTTCAGGCTAGTTTTAATTAGTTTAAGTATGTTACAGCATTACAGCAATGTAAATTACAATACTTTTATTTACTTAAATACACAATAGACAATAGTTCATGCATATCACACCATATTTTCAAATTTCCTACTTTTACATACTTGTTGTTCACATTATACAAAATGTTTACATTATGTTACTTCACAATGTTTATTCAAACGAAGTGGTAGAAAATATATTTTTTTTTGGCTTGGAAAAACAGTTTCGAAAAAAGCCCAACAGATACTACTAATTATAAGATTCATTTAGTCATCTTTGCTGAATCAAAATAATATCAGCTAAGCAAGAAAATGGTCTATCTCCAACATATTAGAATAAGTTTGGCTGATTTAGTATAATAAGCAAAAATGAAAAAAAACAACAAAAGAATAGTTTGCTTATATATCAGTTAAAGTGACTTTTCATAACAAAATAATAAATAGCATAAAACAGACAATTAAACTAGGAATAAATAGCAATTAAACCTCAACATTTTTACCCCAAATGTAAGAATCCTTAGTAACATATGGAAAATACTAATTACATTACCAGAACATTAAGCATGCATAAATTGTTCATAAAATGAATTTAGAATAAAGCATATCATATGAAACATTAATATCAAGATATATCAAGTTTACACTAAGACTTTTCCAGCTATGATATACAACTCATAATTTTTCTTTAATAAAAGTTATTCTGATAATTTGAAGGAATGATTCCAGAAGTGTACGACAATTAATATAAATACGTGTTTCAAGTTCAAAAGTAATATTGTTAGCAAATATATTTGTTTTCTATTGAATTTTGTATTAGGTTACACTCAGTTCAAATCAGATCTTGTACATGTATGGCCATAAAATCGAGGTACACATAGTGGAAACACAGTTTATAATCTCCAAGAGGCACATTGAAAGATAGGTGGAGAAATATGAGATTGGCAAAGAGAGAAGAAATTGCTGTCTCAGCTGACGTAAGTGATATACAGATATCCAAGGACAAGATTAGGGAACTGCTGTTCAAAGTGGGGATAATATCTTCGTGTCATTAAGGTCGTTTACCACGTTGTTCCTTGGCAAATTCTTGAGCTGTTTTATCCCAGGTTCGAACCTCTAAGGCGTTGATGATTTCATCTGAAAAGAGAAGTTTCAAAATTAATGTACAAGAAACGACGATGCCGCTCTCTTAAAAGTTGTGAATTCCAAAAACTGGAACCCTTAAATCCATTTTTTTTTTAGGGGGGATTGCATTGCTAATGAGAATTTGGGAAAATACTACTTTTGGAACGTTTTCAGTCACCAATATAATTCTACACTTACATGCATCGCAAGTTGTTCATTACAGTAATTTTAATTATGGTTGATTCTAATGCATTAAGAATAAAATAGTGTACTTAAAAATGGCCGCTACGGAAAAAAAAAATATTTTTTGCTTGGCGGTTTTGAAATGAATCTTTAAGTGACGTTTGTATATTTGGTTGTCTAAAAAGATCCTAAGCCTTCATGGTGAACAGAAATTGACAAGTGAGTTATACTCTCAGTGACTTAGCAGTCTTGTACTTTCATGGATTTCTTTTGCATGAGTTTAAATAACAAATTAAAGAACAGTTTTTATGCATATTGTGCAATAAATAAGACTGAAATATGAAATATCTTGTCGTATATTCAAACGTATAAATCGGTTAACTCTAAGCAAATCTAAAATACAACTTGACAAAGCTCGTAAATGTAGTTTTTAAATGTTACTAACAGGTATACAATATAACATAATTCCATAGATAATGAGCACATCCCGAGGTAGATATTATTTCAAACGCCATACTGAATTGCAGTACGATACCTGGAGAGCTACCCTCAAATACCTTTATGTCATGCATGTGTTAAATGAGAATATGCTATGTAAAATGGTTGTTGTTGTTGTTTAGTGCAAAGCTACACAATGGGTTACCTGCACTCTGTCAGGATTTTAGCGTCGTAAGTCAATAAACTTACCACTGATCTAGTGGTAGGTATATAAAACCGTAGAATTTGTTTGTTTGTAGTTAAGCACAAAGCTACACAATGGGTTACCTACACTCTGTCAGGATTTTAGCGTCGTAAGTCAATAAACTTACCACTGATCTAGTGGTAGGTATATAAAACCGTAGAGTTTGTTTGTAGTTAAGCACAAAGCTACACAATGGTTTATCTGTGCTCTGGCCACCACGGGTATCGAAACCCGGTTTGTAGCGTT